TACAACTTTTTTTAGGTGATTGTTTCAGAAATTCAAAAGAAGAAATACTGTCTGTGATATCAGCTGATAATCCCGAAGAAACAATATCTGTATTGCATTGTGGTTAATTATTAGCTTTAAATAACAAGAACCTATTTATACGATAATTGATAAACGAGTATCTAATATCATTCTATATACTTTTTAATTTTTTGTAGTAGGCCTAAAAAATTCTGATCAGATATGTTATTCGGATTATACCACAGACAGTATATCTTTCATCAGCAGAGAGAGGTGAATGTGTGCAAATTCAGTGTTGTTGTATTAATAGGTCCTGGTTTATATATATTCTGGGTTATTATATTTTAGTACCGTATTTTATTCGTTATAGTTTTTCCCCTCCCTCCTTAATGACAGTAAACAAATCCAATGGAAGTAACATCATTCTCAACACATTCTGTTAATGTTCTACTCTAGTAGAATTACATTTTCTCTAACCTGGTTTGGACAAATTAGTCTTTATGATCACGCAATAAAATAAGAGTATATACCTACATCTATTTTACTACAAATAGATAAATAAATAAATAAACACCTCCCTCGAATAGACACCTCCTCCAAAACCCTTCTCAACAATAAACGCACTGGGGCGTTTATTCTAATAAACACGCTACGATTCACACACGAAAATTTTACACACGTCGTGTGTTAATTTTCAACATGGGGGCATCATTCACACGAAAGGAATATGGAACGTGCTGCTAAATATCTCTAGCACGTGGATAACATTTTTTCGTGTGTGTGGGTGTGTGTGTGATGAGTGTGTGTCTGTGCATGACCTATTTGATGGGCCACTATCAAAAAATCGCTCGTTAGATATTTTGAGCTTCAAAAAAAAAAAAAAAAAAAAAAAAAAATTTAACTTAATCGAATGTCATTTACGTAACATAAATAAACGACGGCACAATGACAATATCACACCTAATTAAATGTAAACTGTCAGCTGAGAGTTGCGCACCGGAGGCGTTCCATACCCATTCAGCAGGCCCATCCATCCGTATCAACCGTAAACAACCGTAAACATCTATCGTGAAATTCGATGTTAGTTAGTAAAGAAGTCTTAAAATCAAATCAATTGTTTAAAAATGTTTGTTACCTCATGGAGGTATGAGACATGGTGCCTAGGTAGGTAGGAAGTGTTTAAAATATCCCGTCTTAACCGTTGTGGGGGCATTGGTATTAACTTGACTTGTCCTAGGCCTAGCCAGCCTAGAGAGACTCCTGTCTTAAAAAGCGTTTTCCTTCTGTCCAAGACATTTCTTTGCGGTGTGGTGATAGGTAAATATGTAGTCTGTACTAGCTGATCATGTCTTATGTATTTATTATCAACATTCCGGATATAGGGCGGAAAAAATAGGGCTATTTTGTAGCAATGGTAGTCATAGGCCTATTTAAGGTGACGAATCTCCTTTATAAGAAAATACATAGAAGACCCTTGTTTGGAAAGAATTTTATTTTTACTTTTTTGTCCAAAAGTTCCAAAAGAAAACCTGTGGCTAGTAAATATCTCTATTCACCCTCCCCTTAATTAACATTTCCGTTATACTACACATAACATTCATAAGGAAAGCGAAAAATATACAAAATATATATTAATTAATAAAACCTGTGTGTGGTTTATTGTTTAATTTATTCAAATATATTTTTCTTTAAAAGATTGCATTTATCTGAAATGACCATTGACTGCAGGAGCCTACGGGTATTCCAAATGAGATAACAGAGAAGTAAATTTATGATTTAAGTACGTGTCCAACATGGGTGCAACAGTGTCAAAACGAGCACGTAGTGAGCAGGAGAAAGAAGCTCTGGCTGATATGCGGCAGTCTATCCCTGGAGGCTTGTTTTTTAGCAATGGTCTGCCCATAAATACACCTACTCGATGCTTTTCCAGACAGGAACAAGTAGATGTATTAAGATCTTGTAAAGTTACTTTACAAAAAACCAACGAATATATTTTTGATACTAATGAAGGTATGTGATTGTTCAAATATTGAAATTACCACAGTGACGTAGATTGGTTTCCAGCTTTGAGTGGGGACTGAACTAAATCCCTATTCCAATGAAAAGTTAATGGCCGTTTTTAGTATTTTAACACACTTTCATTGGAACTAATTTGGCACCAGGGGGGAGGGGATTTAGTAATGGCTTGGTTTCCCAACTTCGAAGTCCGGGTTTCAGTCCCTTGCTGTGCATTTCACTTAGTGTCCTTCAGCAAGGCACTTTATCTGCATTGCTTCTCTCCACCCAAGAGTATAAATGGGTACCGGGTGGAGTTGCCTGCTCCTGTACCAAGATGGCAGCAACACTTAATCATGTGGACCCAATGACCAAGAAAAAATTACAGCATTTGTATCTGTAAAGAAAGGTGCTATATAAATGACAAGCTTAGATTAGATTAGGTTGTTTAATAATTTGGTTGGTAATCAATCAATCAATTTTATAGAATTACACTATTATGAAAAACAAATAGGAACAGGAACATTAACATGTACACTAAGACGATAATACTGTAGTATACAATTGCAATTATGCCATTTTTGTACATATATATTGATAGCCATGAGACTACACTTGTTCAGTATTTCTGAAACAGCATTTGCAACGAGTGACTGTTTTGGCTTGTCTTTGCCACATTGTTCTTGATAAAATAGTGATATTCTATAAATCTGCTATATTGGATATTATGGGTATTGTATTATTTATTTATTTTTATGGTAGTTAATATTTATCAATTCCAGATCCAAGAATCATTGGGTGTGGCTGAAGCATTTTCTGTATTTTAAAAGTTAAGCTGACAATGTACGCCTCCATTTTACAAAGTTGGGTTAATATTATGCTGGGGCGGTTACAGGATTTAACAGTAGGGGGTGCGAGAGAGTCCACACTGCCTCATGTTGTGGATGAGGTGAGAACATTTTGAGAATATTGACCTCTAGGTGCCTGGAAATTGCACTCTCATACCTTAAAAATCTTACCGGTAATTCATATCAAGAATATAATACAGTTATTTTTCTTAATACAATTTAGAGGGTGCGATCGCACCGCCTGCACACCTGCATCCACCCCAGTTATGCAACATCTTAAATATTTATTCACACCCAGGAATCCGGACTTAAAGCCAAGCTCTGGAGTGGTTGAGCACACTTTGTCAATAATATTTTTCTTACAAAAATGAAAAACAATTTTGAAAGGATAATATTATTCTAATAAAAAGTATTATTCTAGTTAATATTATATTTAGTGTACCACAGTTTTGCTGGACCGCTTTTGTTCCCCTGTCATGTTGCTTAGTATAAATATTTACGTAGCACTGGCACACACAAAATAGGTGCAAGGAGTATGACACTGAATGCCTTCAGGTTGAAGGTCAGTGCACCTGCACTTATATAAACTAAACTAAACCTTCACGACTATGCAACGAAATTGAAATGGTATTCGACCGACACAGATATAGCAATAGAAACTCAGACTCACTCAATATCGTACAACCTGAGTAAAAACAACGAAAATTTCTATCAAATATGCTGGTGGACATGTATGGGATACGCTACCATGTGAATTGAAGGAATCAAATAAACTTTGTAATTTCAAATTAACTTATAAAAAACTATATTTCATGGGGAAACAATCTTCATTAATTTAACATTTGATCGTCTATGTATGTATTATTATATATACTTTATTAAACGTGGGCTTGTAATGTGTATGTATTTTTATAGTGCTTATGATGGCGGATACATTTTTCCTTTATTATCTTGACTGTGTGATGTATATTTACATATTTATCTGTAATGATGTTATTTTTTATTCTTTTATAATTTGTGATTTTATCTTTGTTACATTTTGATCTTTCCAGTTTTCTTGTATAAATTAAAATGTTGAACAGTATATCTAGCACACATGTAAAATATTGGCAGCACCCTTTTACCATCCATTTTTGCTTTATTTGAATTTAAGATTTTTTGGAGTGTGATATACACAGTATGATGTTTGTTTTATAACCCTAGAATATAAGTTATAACAGGAACATATGAAAAACAGGCTTTAAAAACCACCTGTATAAATAAAAATGTATATAAAACTTTAAACTATACTATTGATAGTGGGTGGCTTAGGAGGTGGATTCGTTGTGAGAAAAAAAATTAATGATTGAAGGATTTGAACCCGGATTGCAAAGCAATTTGGATCTTAACCACAAAGCAACTGTACTCCGTTTTCAAGTATTACATCCTTTATCAGGGGCGGATTTGGTAGGCAAAAAAAAGAAAAAAAAAGAAAAAAAAGAGAGAAAAAGAAAAAACTGATAGCCCAGAATGCCTCAAATGTTATGTTCGTGCGTCTAGAACACAAAAATTTCGCGGGGGCATGCCCCAGACCCCTTACCACAGTGTTGTCTCAATCGGGGCCCAACTTTCGGCCCCCGCTTCCGCCCCCCCCCCTTTTGGACATTTCTGGATCCGCCCCTGTTTATGTGAAAACTCGTACAGCATAACTTCCACCCTGTAAGTCGCGAGTCACTCACTGTCAAATGATAATTTTAATGAACAGCTAAGTGAATATTAAATAAATGAATAAATAAAACTTATACAACATTATTAATGTGAAACTGAGCTCTTCACTAATTTTGATTTAAAATGGTATAGCACCTAGCCCGAGGAAGTTGTAAAAGTGAAACCTTTATGCAAATGTGGTATTACAAGGTCTATTGATGATTGTCATTGTGAAGAGCAATATTATGCTTGAATACAGTTTGCTTTCATTTTAACCTAAACATCCACATATCCTTCATTAGATCACATGAATAGGAGTTACTCACAAAGGAAAAAACTGTGTGCAGTAAGTGGAACTTAAGGAATTTATTTCAAATAAATATCCTGGTATTTAAATTTAATACCAAAATAATTGGGTATTATTTGAACTGCACGCAGGGATGTTTCAACATTTACTCTCTTAATTGTCAAAATCTACTGTGACAAATTGCTAGTATCGTGTTTGTACTTCACTTGTCTCTACGCATTTGGTACTTTATACTATTATTAGATATATTGTAGCACTTACCTCATTCCATACTTACTGTATACTCTTCACATCGCATTTGGTTCATATCCGTAGACCTTAGATTTGCAGTAGACACCCGTGTCTGTGAATATAGCAACATGAGTTATTCATTGCCGACTGAAGAATCCCAGATACAGGATTGTGTTAGGGAATGCTGGAAGCAGATTGAGGAGCAGTGCCGGGATCATCAGTCTAACAGGACTGTGCTGAAAGAAGACAGTACAGGCAAGGATTGGCAGGTAGTCCGTCTGTTTGTGTCATCTACATTCCGTGACTTCCATGCAGAGCGAGAGGTGCTTGTTAAAAAGGTATACTGTAGTTGTGTTATTATTAGTAGTAAATTTAATTATTATTCAGTTACTTGACCAATGCTCACATACTGTATATAATATCCTGGTTTCATATGCAGTTTCGTGCAGTAGGATTCAGTGATGGATCCGGGAATTTGAAATAGGGAGCAGGAGGGACATGGAGGGACTTTCATAGATGGAGGATCCAGACCAACTCAACCCCAACTGTGGTTTGCCTGAAGCTGATTATGACACACCTATGATTATGACCTCAAAAGGCACTCTCAGAATTTGAATATATTTTTTTTTCTCCATATTTATCATAATTTAAAAAAAAATTTTCCCCGTACCCCCTTTAATCGGCCACTGGGAACAGTTTGGTTTTCCAACCTCGAGGTTGAGTTTCAATTCCTTGAATTTTAATCCTGATGTTCCAAATGTCCACATTTCAAGCTTCAAATAATAAATTTGCTACCTTATCTTGAACTGAGCCCAGAGGTTGCCAATTTCATCACCATCTTCATGTGCCATCTTCGATACGAAGGTTGGCCACCATGTCTCTCCATCTAATACGATCTTCTGCTGCTCTCTTTGCCTCCATGCAAGAAGTTGCTGAGCACCATCTCTTGATGTCATCACTCCATTTAATTCTCTGTCTTCCTCTAGCTCTCGAGCTCTCAATTGTCCCTTCTAGAAGTGTGTTTGCTAGGTTAGTCATTAAATTAGCTGTTCTGTATATTTGGGGTTCTTTTCCGCAAATTCAAGGGTGTCTAACAAAATTTGGGAGGCCAGGAAATTGCATGAAAATTTGGGTGGGCCAGAATGTATATACAGTTAAACTTGCCTAATGTTGACTGTGCCTAAGTCAAATAATTTCTAAGTCGATCTTACTTTACATGCAAAATTATTGTGTTTTCCATTAATTAACAATCTATAAGTCAAATTTTATCGAACAATATTTCAATGGCATTTTGGATACAACTTAGACAAGTTCAACTATATATTCTATTTAGTATTTATTCATATGATTTGCTTCATTAATCGTTGTTATTGTTAATAATAATAATATACTAGTTTTAATAAATCAGTCAATTACAGAAATAAACAAATTAATAGAATGTTATTGTATAATTATCTAATATTAATAGGTTTTTCCTGAATTACGAGATTGGTGCACACAACGTCATTTGCAGTTTATTGAATGTGATTTGCGATGGGGCGTGCCTCGTGACTCTACAACGCGAACAACAATCTGCACTTGTTTGGATGAGATACAACAATGCCACGATGAAACAGATGGAGCAGGATTTTTTCTCAATATGCTAGGTGAAAGGTACGAGTGAGCAGTGGTGTATCTAGAAGTCTTAAAATGGGGGTGCTGATGGGGGTGCGCAAAGGTGAAGTGGGGGAGGCTTGATGATCCGTTGAGGGGCGCTAACTCAACAAAATAAGGTGATTTTTAACTACTTGACCGTGATTTTTTTCGGATTGTGGGGGGGGGGGGGC